TAATTTGAATAATGAAATACGTAGAGATATCCCAAGTCAATAGAAATGGGAGTTAATTTGGCAAGAAACAAGTATACACAAAGAGAATTCGTGATTTTACAAAAAACAAATTACTCGATGACCGCTTGAAAAAATGGGTGATTGCTTGTCCATTTACTATCTTTATTAATCACCCCTTAGTCTTAAAAGTGCTGTTAAAGTCTACTAGATCAGTTCAAATTACATCCTTTGCTTTACTGAACACATGATCTCTATATTAAAAAATGTTTTTAAGTCCCCACTAAACTACCCAAGATGATTCCTTACATACAAAAAAATTCTATTTCATGTCTATCAGAATTCCCAGAGTAAAGGAACAAATCAATTATTCTTCAGTGATGACAGAAATTACTGAAACTCAAATGAAGGCTGAGCATGATAATGGGACAAGAGGAAAGTAAAAGGAAATAGAGGAAAAAACTAGGCGACAAAGGGTATGTATAGAAGTCTAAATATAGGCATGTACATATGTAAATGTATTTACATAGGATGGTGGGGAAATAGATCTACGTGCATATAGTTATAGGTTTAGTATTAAGGCAGCCGATGGACAATGGACCTCCACTCAAGTAATTACTCAATGCAAGAACACGTTGTTCTATTAAATTGGCATTCCATGATGCACACCTTCCCAACAGGATTGCTGAGGACAAATGTTTGCATAAGCAAAAGTGGTGAAGAAAGCTGATGGTGCCGGCTATCAAAAGATATAGTGTCTGGGGTCTAAAAGGCTTGCAGATAAACAAGCGGCCATCTAGCTCAGAATCATCAAAGTCCAGAGGGAAGAAACACACCAGCCTGTGTGACTACAAGGTGGAGAAGGGACCAGGTATCAGACATCAAAGAACAAAAAATCTTATCAGTGGGTTGCCCACCTTCCCGATATGATCACTGAAGACAAATGTGTACATAAGCAAATGTGGTGAAGAAAGGTGATGGTGCCCGGCTATCAAAAGATATAG